AATAGTAGGCCTACCTAAACTATGGTGAAGGATGTTTACAGTAGATATTCAAAGTTTTCAGTGGAATTTTAGATATTCAAGAGCTCTAATTCTAACGTATCCGACGCCTCCTGTTTATTGTTTGATGTGTTAGCGAATTTCCCATATAGGGAATAAGCTATTACCGTGGTACTCATGGTAAGACCTGGACGCGAGACCGATTTTTTTTCGTTTTGAGGTCCCTTGGTCCCTAGAGGCCAAAAACACCATCCGTTCAAATTCATATATATTTTTTGTCATATATATTTTAGCGCGATAACTCGAGCAAAAATGATCCGATTTTGATGAAATTAGGTACAAACATGTAAACCTACATTTATTCAAACGAGTTCGCGATCCAGCATAATCGGACCATGGGAACAGGGGTTTATGGGGAGTTTTATGGGGTAAAAATGGGTTTTCCCCATTTTTGACCCTAAAACATAAAATTTTAGAATTTCTTTCCCAACCATTTTGTAGAGCTTAAAAAAGAAATAATTTAGTATACTGAAGCATTGTTGTATGCCTAACGGTCAAGGAGAAAATTCAAAAAAATGCAAATTTAAAATTCTCATGTTTTTCTTATGGAGAAAATGAAAACGGTTGTAGTTTACTTGTTTATGGATATATGTTGATCAAATTTGGCAAACTTTTTTATTTCATCCTACAGTATTGTTGTTTGGTCAAAAAACACTGTTTACCTTCCCCGTAGCAGCAAACCTAAGCACTCCTTACATCTAATGTTATTTAAATTGGGAATAAATATGTCTTATTTATGGAAGTATTTTAGTAAATATGTAATCAGACAAGTTGAAATTCGCTTAGTCTGCAGGTTTGCTGCGGCGGGGGTATTTTGTGTTCTAGCGTTTAAGTGCGCTAATTTCCTGAGTGCACTACTTTATTGATAATTTCAGAGGACATCGACAGACTGTAATTAGATATTTTAGTAAATTGAGATTTTTGAAGTTGGTATAAAAACAAGGAATAAATAGTAATCAAGTCATATACGTACTAAAACATGCTTACAAGTGACTTCAGCTATATTATAAGTATAACAAGTATTTAATAAAGGTGTAATTTTGATATATGGCGATCCTTAAAAATTATAATAAAACAATACTGTATTAAAGAATCAAACTACGAAAATTCCATTTGGAAATACTGAAAATAATAATTTTTAACCAAACTGCAAACCTCCTAAGATTTAGTCGTCAAACCAAAACAAAGTCAACAGTCAACATAAACATCCATTTAATTCCATATACAACACTATAATGCCAGAACAGCGAAAGTGTTAAAAGCTATGGCTAATGACCGATAAAATGTTTTCCAATCCCAAACGAGCGAGTTTCCCACGATAGCGGTAACATAGATGCACTAAGTGGCTAAGTGCCCAAAGCAAGCTAGGTTAGCACTTAAGCACTTATTACAACACGATGGCAACAATGCAGCTACATTATAAAGCTGTTGGGAACCGCCTTAGGCTGTAAATTTCAATCGTAGTAAGTTGCCAAAACTAATACAGTAGTGCGTATTGAGAATATGCCTCCAATACAAGGCTGCGGCGAGACAAAGTGGCAACGCCGCAATTCCGGCCTACAGGAATGGATCTTGTAATAATAAAGCGTTCGCCGCAATGTTTATGTTTACATGTCTGTTTCTATGGTTACAGTATTGCCATTACAATAGGCCGGTCGTTGCGACGTTGCCACTCATCAAGGCCGCGGCCTTGTTTTAGAGGAGGTTTTGGAAGAGATGAGGTGACCCTCTGGTTTATTTCTGCGAATTTATTAACCAACAATAAACATTCAAAACTAGAGTTAAGAGTACACTCCGAAGTCACGTATTACGAATGGAGAAAGACGATTCTAGACATCTAAATAATGTTTGTTAATTGTAAACGTATTTCTAACAAAAGATCAGCTGTCTCAGCAGTTTTCTTTTCACTCAAGGTTCATTACAAAGCCTACAACCTACAACAAAGGCTACAACCTTTTCGCAAAAAAATTGATCTATTGATGGGTTGAATTTGCATCGACGTGTGTGTTTTAGAATACAGTTAAAATTATGTCAACTGCATACGACATAGTCCCCATCGATAGCAGTGTCTTTCAGTCATGAATCAATTCTTACAGTAACCTAGTTATTGTATATAGATTTAAGATCATACATGTCGTTAAGATCAGAATCGTCAGTTGTAACTCGAAATAAAAACGGAACCATCAGATTTATCAATAACATTGAAACCTTTACATAGTTAAAACAATATTGATCCAAAGTTTGATCCTTGCGGAACGCCACACTGAGTACTTAGTGTGGTGTGCCAATTAGCAGCTCAGCGTGGGCGATGTGCACTGCGCCGGCGGCCGGCGCCAGAGCGCATCTGTTTCGCCTTAGCAACGCGCCGGCGCAGTGGTGTGAGAGTTCTGCTTTGTCACTGCGCCGCCTCCATTGATGGCCACACGCGCCACTGGCTCGCTGGAGACAGTCTACTACAACCAGACAACTGATCCTGTCCATGTTTAATTTAACAGGCTCCAGTCCAACCCCAACGTCTTCAACGATTTCCCCGACGCGACCAGGAATCTTAGCTATTTTTAAAAATTAAACCAATAATGCTTTCCTTTCATATTGCTTCGTTTGGGGTATTATTGGATTGGAGACTGTTCAAATTAGGATCTTGTCACTAACTGAACATCAGCATAATTATTTAATAGCCCAACGTATAAGGTAAGATATAAAATATGACACCTTCACGCCTTGAGTCATTGCTAGTCTAGTGGCTAGCGTCTCAGACTTGGGTGCGGGAGGAACGAGTTCAATCCCCGCCACAATGGGTTTGGACCGCTTTAATTCCTTTTAAAAGGGTTTAAGTTGGCTCAATTAAAAATACCACTGGCGTACAAACAAATGTAGTAGATTTATTAGGTACTGGAATCTCGGCTTAAACTAAGACTGGTTGCAAAATTCGTATTATTTATCTACCTTTAAAGAGTAAATTATGAACAATTATCAATCATTGATTTTGATATTGGGGACGCCACCTATGACTGAAGGATAAGTGTAGAATCAATGAATACAAAACCTAGTCTATGTAGAATTAGAAATTAATAGAATTGTGTGAGATGATGTGTCGTTTTTTTACTACTAAGAGCTGTTTAATTAAAAATAAGGGTCATTTATTTAAAGCCCAATGACCAGGAACTGATGAAATGAGGGAATTAAATACATACTTTATTAATAATTGATGTAAAAAAGGAAAAATATTAAAACATTAACACTTCAAACTGCGAACGTATTAGAACAACCAACATAAGCAGGTGATACTAAAAGATATATTAAACAGATATTTGATTATATAGCACTAAACAAAGCAATCTTCTATATATATAAAATCCAATGTATGTTTGTATATTTGTATGTTTGTATATTTGTATGTTTGTCCTTTATGGACTCCGAAACCGCTCGACAGATTGTAATGAAACTTTAAGGCATTATTAAGCATTATTCAAGGATGGTTTGTGTGAAGTTTGGTGCAGATCCGTCAATAGGGCTCCGCCCCAGTGGCTCTGGAGTTTCCCATGTTAACCTTATGAGTACTCATATTTAAATGGAATTAAAGAATCTTAACAGCTGGTGCAGCTAAACAATTTGATTCTGTGATGTTCAATAGCATTAAAAAAGTTAATAGGTTTACCAACAGGGTGCAGCACTATATTTTTTTTTTTTATTTATGAGAACAGCTAATTTGCAACCAAAAAGTGAGTGAGCGTAGCGAACGAACTTCAACCTGGAGACGAGTTAGCGTAGCGAACGAGCTAACCTGAAGGCAAGTGAGCGCAGCGAACGAGCTCCAACCTAAAGGTGAGTGAGCGTAGCGAACGAACTTCAACCAGGACGTGATTGAGCCATGCGAACGAGCTCATCTTGTAAATGAACGAGCATGTGACATAAAACCACAATAGGACAGGACGACGTCTGTCGGGCCAGCTAGTACTATATAAAATCCTCAACAGGAACAGCCATCGAAGGAACGGGAACAGCTGGACTGAATAAGGAACGAACAAATCAACCATATTAACAAGTTGACTTTGGCTCTAAAACAGTGTCAGAGCTAATCAACACAAAATTAATTTCAATATTGATATGTCGTGTCATTATCAAGAAAAACATATTTAAACATAAATTTGATCTTAGTTCTTTTAGATGGTTAATTCCGTGGGCTTGTAATTTTCAGACCAGGGGCCCATTTCATAATAAAGTACAAACTAATATTATTAGTAAATCAGCTGATTGCCCAATGCAAATCTAATGGAAATAACAAGTTACAAGTTGTAACTTGTAACTTGTAGTTTATTATGAAATGGGCCCCAGGACTTTATAAACCCTAGTTAAGATAGTCTCAGGTCCTATCTTAGGCCTCCTAAGTCCTATCCTGCATTTATCGCTAAGTTTAGCAGCAATTTTAATTCGAAACAGCGTGCGTCGCGTTTCTTCCTATCTCTCCCATGTTATAGCGGCGGCTTTTTGCCACTCTACGGCTCCCGCGTGCCCCTCTAGTGTTCTGCTAAACCTGGCTTCTCCGCAACACGTATATCTCTATTAGCGTGCCCTCTCCTTAATGTTTAATCCTTCTAGGTCCTATCCTGCATTTCTCTCTAAGGACCTTCAACATTCTTCCACTGGACTGTATTCTAAATATGTACTTCAAAACAAAGAAATAAAATAGAGCAACAATAAATGGTGGATTAAAAAATAATAATAGGAGGAATGCATTAAAAGCAACAGTACCAGCTATCCTTAATTATTAGTAAATAACAATTTTCAGGAAGCAACTAAGAGAGGAATTCAGAAACAAACTTTAAAGTTGCATGGTACTATCAAAAATAAAAGCTAGCCTCTCTAGCAGAGTAAAAAAGTCAAGCAGTAGACAAAATGTTTTAGTTCTTGTTCTTCTTCTTCTTCTCATCTGGATCTCCTCCCTCACCTCCATTCTCTTCCTCTTCACTTCACTTACGTTCTACACATTAGGGTTAAGTTTTCGTTTTAATTTTACTTCAATATATTTTCTGAACCAATCCAAAAGAAAACTTACCTAACCTGATATTATTTATTTATCAACGACTTTGAAGTTTTAAACGTGCAGTGGAGTGTTGTTTTTGTAAAAAAGCTTGTTAAGGATTGTAACAGTGGAGGAAGAGGATATGACCACTCAGAAATCTTGAAACCAGAATTTCAGAAGGTAAGCTTTGCAATCGGCCTAGGCAACAAATACAAATCTCTAGCATTTATTTCCAATTTTGTTTTGAATTCGATAATAAATACTTTGAAAAAATAATAATTTGAAAGTGATAAGCCTATATCGAACCAAAATCAACATTTCACTTAACTTAATCCGTTATTATATCACAGGTTCTCTGCGGAACCAATTTGGCCAATTTTACTTTGGAGTAATGTTTTTTTTTTCTGTGTCACGTAACAAACCTCCCCCCCCAACCAAACGGGAATAGTTTACTTCATCCCCTCCCCATTCACCGGGCTTAGTAGGCTAAGTCAGCCTATACACAAATAAATTAAACAACCTTTTGCTTTTACTCCCTAAATTTATAGAATTACCTTAATTACCTCCTTCGTCACCAAGACCAACGATGCTGGATAGGTTGTGTCAATACTATTTACATATTACTAAAAACAAAAACTTTTCTCTTTAGCCTAGATAAAACTTTTAGGTCATGGCGGTGGATGCACCCACACTTTCAAAAAAATCTTTCAGGCTATAATATGGTCTATCTTTTAGCCATGTCTTCAGGGCAGTGCTAAATTTAGGAGATAGGTTCTTTAGTGTTTGGGGTAGACTATTGTAGATCATGAGTGCCATGGTCGGGTATGAATTTTTTGTTTTTGAGTCTGCAGAAAGGGATATTTCGGTACTTGAGTATTAAACGGAGGCCACCATTACGAAACGCGCCGCGGCACTTATAGAGGGTTAAATTGTTATAGATGTTGTAGTAGAACTATTCTAGTATTGTTGTGAGTCGAGCGTTATCAGATGAGTCATGTGCCTACTCGCAGAATCCCCTCCAAGTAGGCCAAGGTCAGGGTCGTTGACCGGAGCGCGCGCCATTACCTGTCATCGCCTGTCACTGTGTCTGGTCAGCTATATCAGTTATAAAATGAAACTATCATAACCTAACCTAACCAACCAAACTTGCTGATAGTGAAAACATCGAATGAAGGTTTACTAATAATCAGTATTATCATAGCTAAGTTAAGAAACTGTAGGTTAGGTGGCCTCCGTTTAATACTCAAGTACCGATATTTCATTGTTACGCCTGGTTTGATGTGCATGTATGGTACTTCTTGTAGGGAAATTTAATAGGTTGCCTTTAACATGGACGGAACACAGAAGGATATATTGGTTATAGACTGTTAGGACTTTTGTTTTCATGAAGAGCGGCTTACAGTGATCCAGTCTCTTACTAAAAGTAATCACACGAATTGCCCTCTTCTGGAGTATGAGGATATCCTCACAAGCAGGCGCGTGTCCCCATAGCAGTAGACCATAGCTCAATACACTATGGAAGAGAGCGTGGTATATCACCAGCAAATAGTGTGGACTTATCATGTGGGTGAGTTTTCTAAGTAGCTAGGTGTACAACTCTTGAAAATCCACCAACTGGGTTTTCATTACAGCCTCCAGAACCTTACCAAACACAGGTATCAGCGAGATGGGCCTGTAGCTATTTAGGTCTGATGGTTCTCCCTTTTTGTACATAGGGACGGTACGGGCCATCTTTAATATGTCGGGAAAGACACCTACTCTCAGACATTGGTTGAGTATACTGGCTAGTGGCTCTGCGATTTCATTTACTATGGCCTTCAGGACTATTGTGGTCATATATATATATATCTTATCTTTTGGATGACTTAAGCCTGGACACAATCCTTATTATGTCCCTTTGGTCGATAGGTTGCCATTGTGTTAGGCTAATGGTTGGGGGTACCCGTCTTACATTAAGTGAGGGATCTTGGTTTGTTACGGGGATGGTGTTTAAGACACGCTCTACATTTCCCAGCAGAAAGCTATTAAAGTCATCCGGACTAGCATTACACCTTACAGTCTTGGATGTTGGTATGCCTCTAGATTCATTTACCAATGACCACGCAGCCTTGCAGGGGTTCATGGCAGATTCAATTTTTTTTACATTTTCCTGTTTTTTTTAGCTAAATTGACCTTAAGTTTATAAGAGTTTAGAAAGGCGTTGGCCGTAATACCCGTCCAGGGTAGACTTCCATATCTGTTGGCACAAACACCTGAATGAAAATATTGATTATTCTATTGTTTCATTTGATATACGGTATCGTTTGGTTAGTTAGGTTAGGTTAACCTTACCTAACTAACCAAACGATATATCGAATAATCGATATTTTCATTCTGATGTTTGTGCCAACAGATACGAAAGTCTACCCATTGTCCAACATACTAGGCCTACCATAAAACAAAATTAGACTTGGTAAATATTTTAACAGAATTAACTTGGCTCAGCTGAGATCCAAATGCATCAAAAAGTTTACTTCAATTTAGCCAAGTTAACAACTTAAAAAGCAACAAGACCAAAATGATAATTTCATAGGCCTCTAGGCATATTGTGTATGGCCTAGGCTACTAAAATCAATCAAGACATGCACATCAAATTTATAGACATGGATGCGTGTAGGAAGAGTGTCTGCACTTCTATTTCTGTATTTCTATTAGGTGTGTAGGCTGAATATATACTTAGGCCTAATCCCTTTAGGTTTTAGGTAGCAGGAAGACCTTATTAAAAAGCTCAATCATATGGATTATTTGGTAAGCTACTAAGTAATCTGTAGACTATTGTGTTTACACAGGTGTGGCTTTTGTGATTTCAGGTTCCACTATGAATTTCATTCGTCAACATGTGTTAACAGTAGTGAAAAATATAATTTTGAGCCCTAAACCCTCCGTAGGACCAGTTTGTAATGCATTGACCACTCTTCCTCCTGTGTCACCATTACAAAGTAAGTAAATTCAAATTTGATTTCATCTCTTTGTTTCATGAACTCAACTGTTGACTGTATTTAAAAGTTATTTTCGGTTCTTTTCAGTCACTATCCCTCTACCTGTTTACAAGGGCATACCCACGATCAAAACTAGGGGGGGGGCAAGAGTGTCCTTGAAACAGGGGTCGCTGGTGGTGGCCCACCGGGGGTCCGGGGGTTTCCCCACGGGAAACATTTAAAAACAATACGCTGAAATTAGCGTTGTTTACGCTATTTTGAGATAGAAATATGTCTCCGGCTTGTCAAACATGTGTGTCGTAGGGATAGAAATGGAACGTTTAATAGAGCGATTGCAATGTTACTTTTGTATAGATGGTTGAAAAGAAGAAAAGGGAAGAACTGAGTGCACTGGGTCCACCCTTAAACGGATTAAGAAACAGAGTTGGTGTTTTTTTCTTTTCGATGATTCTTTTTTTGTTATTATTTTAATAATTAAAATAAGTAGGCCTACGGTAATTAATGTTTCCGATATGATCAGTAGGCCTACTTTAGGCACAAATAACCAAAAGTTATACACAAATAACTACAACCAACTGAACTAAAGTATACATGGTGCTGACGACACACGACAGGATCCGCTTGTATGTGAACGGTCACACTAGGCCGCTGCGCCCACTACTCCAGCCGGCTTGTTAACCTGACACCGTAAGTGATTAACCGACCACGACACATGTCGTGTATATATGAAAACTTCTTCACCCAATTGCTGGTTAAACGACACCCGACAGCTGTGTAAAACAGGCCTTAGGGTTAAATTCTACACATATTAGTATTAATAATTAACCAAAGTAGTTAAAGGCCTGCTTTGGTTTAGGCTAATTAACGCCAAAGATTGATTGTCTAATCAAAATTTTTAGCAAATTTTCCTTCACATAAACGTTTACAATTGAACTACTGTAGCAAAGCTGGGTAGGCCCTACACAGGTGAAATGGGCTGGTCAAATTCAATTAGAATCTTAGGCCTATATTGTCATTGGTTGTTTATAGAAACTTCTAATTGTATTTTAACAAGATTATTTTTATGTCACTATCCAGAATTTTGTACGATCATCCTCTACAAAATAATCATTTAATCATGGTGGGTTTTGAACTGGAATGCTTGATTTAAAATGTGAATTGTTTTGTTGTAAATGTGCTGTGATGAAACCAATTGTTTGTGTTGTGTTTGTTTATGTGTTATTTAGTGAAAAAACTTCAAACAAAATACCGTGCTGAACCATGTGTTTTGTGAATCACTCAAGTGTTTTGGTTGCAGTGTGGTGCCGCAACATGGCCTCGTTGCTAGGTATGCACAAGTCAGGCCCACACTTCAAGAAGAGGCCGAACAGAAACCCGCTCGGCTTTAACAAGCCCTTTGCCAAAGGTGTCGTTTTAAAAACGTTGGTCAAGAAGCCCAAGAAACCGAATTCGGCTAATCGAAAGTGCGTCTTGGTGCGGCTCTCTACTGGAAAGGAAATGGTCGCTTATGTTCCCGGTATAGGACACAATCTGCAAGAACACAATGTTGTGCTAGTGAGAGTAGGGCGTCTAAAGGACGTACCGGGGGTGAAGATTAAGTGCGTCAGGGGTAAATTTGATCTTGGACATGTAATCAAACAGTCGCCAACAAAGTAAATGTATGTATATATATTGTTAGAATTGAATAAATTGCATTTAGATTTATCTAGGTTTCTTTTAATATTTCCAGTAGGCCCTTTAGTCTTAATGGTTATTAGTTTCCTGGTAGGTCTAAGTAAATTTGTTAAATGAAATAAAGACATTTAACAGCTAATTTAACTGTGTTTACACGAATTTGGAAATAAAATAGCATGGTTAGCATTTGAAAGTTTTTTAGATGTTTTGTCTCAAATATTTTACAAAGAAAATCTCCCTGAATTTGGAAAAAAATCTGACAAAAGTTGTGACTACTGTACCATTATACATAATACAGTGGGGCAGGGAATTATCCCTACTTTTAAGATCGCACTGTGAGTAGTGGGGGTGTGCTGGAGGAATGGGGTTAGGCTCAAATGAAGCTTTTGTTTTGGGAATTTCTAAGAATATCACTTTCAGTAGTAGACTTGGCTTGTTTGAGTGAGCAATGTGCTTTTGCACTCGAGATGTATTTTTTCAAAAATCTGTCTATTGTTGCTGTGCAGCTACCGTTGGCTGCAAACTTGTTATCGGGTGGCCTGTCGCAAAGCTGTTACAATTTGGTGTGGGTGAATTACTTTCGTGTTTTTGGTGGTGTATTGCGAAGGATATTTGGAGCTCAAAGAACCGTCCGGGGTCCTGAAAACATTGACCTTGTCAGAAGATCGATTTAGCAGTCACCTCAAAGTTCTGCTTGTAAGCATGCATCCGCGCTGGCGTTTTCTAGTCATACTGTGCCTCCTATTCTCCATGGGGACCTACACCTCCATCTATACAAGAGGGTAGTTGCTCATGAACTCACACAACGGGACTGGCAACAATGAATGCAGGCATGTGAAATCTTAAGTGCGGGACTACCTCATGCTGCTCGGGTTTTGTTTAGTGACGAGGCACACTTCCATATTTCTGGAGCGGTAAATAAGCATAATGTGCTCTATTGGAGTGATGCTGAGTCTAGGGTAGTTCAAGGGAAGACCCTCGATGCCTTAAAGGATGCAATGCACCTTGAATTTTGCCGCATTCCACAACAAATGCTTCACAAAGTTATTATGAACTCCAGAACCAGAATGCAGCAATGCATTTAAGATTAGGGACACCTCTTGCAGGATATGCTATTTAAAACCAAGTTAAGTTATATTAAAATAAACTCCCAGACGTGACCTTTTAATCTCAATAAAAAGTTTGGTTCTAACATTTTTGGTTGTCTTTAAATGTACCTTCAAAATTAGGGATACTTCCCTGCCCCACCCTGTACAAGCATCATACTGTATAAAAGCATACTTTTACCTAGGCTATATAGTTTGAAGGCACCCTCATTATATCAGGAGGCCATAAATTGAACTGTGACAGTTTTGGGCCTTAGCCGCCTTTACACGAGGCCAGTGGAACAGGCAGATTACTTGCTTCTAATGTATTTCATGTTACCTGAGGCAAGTAATCTGTCGTTTCCGTCTTATTATGCAGGCCATGCTTATAGTTCACATTTTCTTTAGACATTTTCTACATTACAAGCCAACTGCCTCATCCCATTGTAACACTAAGAAGAATTTGAAGGAGAACGAATTAATCCTAAAATCGTTGCCAGGAGGGAAATGATTCCACAAATAGCACTCACTATTTAAAACCTTTTCAACAAAATAATTTTTATGTTTATTTTCATATTTTAAAAAAATCATGAAAATAGTGTGGGGAAATTGAAAAGATTGGTTTTACTTTCAATATTTATCTTACAACCATGTATCCATCTTTAATACATTATTTTTAATTAAATGTAATAGAAAAAAACATTCATGCTGTACAATAATCCGACAGTACTAGTATGTTTTACAAATCTATGCACCCTCCCTAAAAAAAAAAAAAAACTAAACAAAACAATTGTAGTTATATTTTTATTTTATATCCTCCACTAAAATACAGATCCATTATGTTTTTTTTTAGGCAGGTTGCCTTATGCTTTACTTATTAAGTTTGGAATAAAAAATTGAACCAACAGGTTGCAACATGCAAAAACCAAAAAGGCATTGACAGTTATCTAGATTTAACGCCTTTATTATTTAGGCCTACTTGTACCCAGTGCTCGATTTGTAAAAAATGAGGTGCCAGTACTGTTACCTATTTAATGTGATTAGAACCTGTTTATGCCAATATTTTTATCTTTCTGAAAGAGAGGTACTGGAACTACGTTCCACCACACTACCCCCCAAAAATCGAGCACTGCTTGTACCTAATATTCCAGCATATGTTTTGACAAAATTTGTTAGTGTCTAATTTCTAATCTTTTGTTAACTCTGTATTTGTACATTTGATTCTTGAGAGTACTTTCTTCAATAAGTCCCCTTTTTTGTTTCCTTAATCTCAAGGTAATAAAAATATATATAATTTACTAGGCTCACATGTAATATGAATAAACATTTGTCATGTCGTATTTCTTGTGAGGCTCCTCAACCTTACAAAGAAATTATCAATATTTGTAAGACAACAATTAAATTAACCATATTTTGAGCCAAATAAAAGAATGTTTTTAAAAGTACACAATCAACACAACACACACATTAACGTTAACTATAGGCTACTCTTCTAAAAATGTGCTTAAAATTCCTAGAATTTACTTCCAGAGCATCAATTGCAGAAAGTAATAGTTTTCACTTAGTATATTGTACACAATAATTAGTACTTACTGAATTATAGATGAAAAGTATGCATAATCTATTATTTGTTCCTTTAATAATTCATCAACAACATAGTATATAAAATTTAATTTGAAATTTTGCAATTTAAAAACAATACCATAATTTGTCCCAAAAATAGTATCACACATTTAATTACTCAGTGCTACTGTAGTGTACTTACGCAGATCAATGAAACAGCTGATTACAAAGATTGTGTATAGTTGCTGAGAACCCATTGTTGTCACTGCTTAGAGTGGCGGAGATTTTTTTTAAAAACAGGAACAATGACAACTTTGCAAAGATAGATTTAGTGTGCTGCGGTTTTCTAAGTTTGATTCTATGATTGCCGTGCAACAGTATTTGGAAGTCTCTCACGCTTTTCCTTAAGTTTGTGTAATGCTGCACCACTTAACCTAACCTTTTTCACTCATTATTATTATTTTCTTCATGCATAATTACGAAATTAAAATGATTAAAAAAGTAAAACAACCAATTTTTAGCGGTTCGAAAAAAGTTAGTTTTTCAACATAAATAAAATAAATAGGGCCTGTTATTAATACATTTTACATGGGAGGAAGTGAAATTTAATTTGAACCTCTACAGGGCGATTCGTGATGCTCATGTTGAACTCTATTGAGCCCAAACCAAACTGTTTTTTCTGCTGCCCATATGTAACCCTTTTTTATCTATTGGAATTAGTTTTGTCAAATATAAATGCTTAAAAGTGTAGCATTACTTTTGGTGTACACAGTACGGTATGTTATTTTTAAGGATGTATTTGTTGTAAACGAAGAAGTTAAAAATACTTGAATTCATCAGACCTTATGTTTTTTAATTCTTGTAAACCCAGTGGTTTGAACAAATAGGTAGTGTTTTTTCACATACATCTAAATATATCAAAATCCAAGCCCACACTGACTGACTCACTAATTCTGTAAGTTAACGACTAGCTAGAATGCTATAATTTAGTATGGTCAAAGGATAAAAATAGGAAAGTTAAATAGTTTTAAAAACTATCTGGACTATCCAAAAGTTGTGTTCTTGAAATCAGTTATTACTTAAAGTAAAGTATACCACGCCAAAACCATTTGTCATATTGACCAAAAATTTCACAATAAATACACTTGAACAAACTTTTTTTCAAGAAAGTAAATCTACATGATCCTACTACTAGCACAATAATGGCTGACTTAAGACTAAAGAAACTGGGAGTTGGAAGAAGACTTCCGAATGACCCTCTCTTTGCAGAAGGGGACAGAGTGTGCCGCATGTTTCTACGTGAAGGCATCATCGATATTGACGATGAACAGCTGTGCCACCAAGTGTAAGTGCTTTGCATATTTGAAATTTATCTTGTCAACATTCAGTGAGCAAAGGCTGAAGCTTTAAAAAATGATTAGTGTGAAAAACTATCAATATGTAAAAGTATGAAGAGCAAGATTGGAACGAGAATAACTTCATAAACTTGAGAGAATGTTTCCAAGTTTTTGTCTTTTTCTGAAGGTATAGTTTCCATGGGGTGTGAAGGTTTCTTGTGTTTGAAGGAAGTAAATTGGTTGAAATTATTCTAGAGAGATATTTAGTTCAGAATTGTGTTTTTACACGTAAATTTCTTGTTCAAAGTTTTATTGCGGACATTTTCCATCACAATGGAAAAAACAATACACAACCTTTGAACAACATTAACTAACCATCACCAACCATGAACTTCAAACAAAGAAAAAATTTCTTATTGTCAATGAGAAAAAAAATCAACAACTATATTACTGTATTGCAAACTTAGTAAAAGATTCTGTCTGATAGTAATGGTTCAAGCCATACAGTTATAATAATTGTCAGTTTTATTGTTGTGTGGTTACAATGTACGATTTTCATACTTATTTTTACAGAAAATAGTGCTTTGGGTACTGTAAGAAATAGTTTTTTTTAGTTAGTATGCCTACTCTATAGACATTTTTGAGATAACTCCAACGTTCAGTTGTAAATTTTAACCGAACAACTGTAACTAATTAACTAACTAACTGTTGTTAATAGAACTTACACTTTTGTCTCCAGTGTGGCTGTGTTCCCATGTGACGTCCCAGGATGTAAGGAAACCTTTGCTTCTCTGATGGAGTTTGATATGCATTACAACTCGCGGCATCGCTACGCTTGCAGAGAGTGTAACAAACACTTACCCACCGGCCACTTGCTGGACCTACACATATCAGAAACACACGACTCGTTCTTCGCTGCTCAAGCGGAAAGAAAACCAATGGTAGGTACAAAAACCAATAAAATTGTATTTATTTTGTAAATTTTCACGAGTGAAAACTACGTAAGTAAGTTAGGATATTAGGGTATACCATTTTTGAATTATATGTGTGCTAACAATAAGTTCTTAACGGTTTGAAGAATCCTTAGAGAAGAGACCTTTTTTTTTCTAACGGGCCTCAGATCTGATGAAGATGTCCAGTGGTAGCAGCCCAAGAGCGACTTCTAGAGTAGCTGATGGACTGCTCCTGAAGGCTCCAGTGGCCTGTAGCGTGCCGAGCCTTTGCATGCTTTCTAGCTTGGCTATGACAGTTACCTGATTCACCTTTGTCCACCAGACTAGTGAACCATAGGTAATCTGAGGCCTGACCACAGCCTCGTATAGCCAGAGTGCTATGTGGGGTTTAATTCCCCAGGTCCTCCTGGACGTCATGAGCGCCCATTTGGCCTTATGCAGCGCGTTATTCAGGTGGTTGTTTCACGTCCGCTTTTAGTCAAGTGTCAGTCCTTAATACTTGACTGCACTCGACACTCCCAGCTGAGTAGTGCCAATTTTCAGCCTGGAAAGAGAATCCAGGTTCTTTTTCCTGGTGAAAGGAACTACGACTGTCTTAGAAGGATTAATGTTGAGTCCTTCTCTGAGACACCATTGTTTAACACATTGTAGGTTGCCGTTCATGACGTCAGCTACAATTTTTGTGAATTTTCCTTGTACCATGAGGACTATGTCATCTGCATAGCCCTGGACAAAGATGCCCTTGCTGGTGAGTTCAGTTAAAAGACCGTCCACCACAAGGTTCCACAGTAAGAGTGAAAGTACACCTCCCTGTGGAGATCCTTTTGTGGGTGCGATCACATTTTTTTCACCAAGAAAGTCGGCTACGGTGCGTCTTGAGTTAAGCATAGACTCTGTCCATCTACACAGAGATTGCTCGAGTCCATGCTCACAAACTCCCCGCACCATTGCTCCGTATGTTACATTGTCGAAAGCTCCTTCAATGTCCATGAAGGTGCATAGGGCTATTTCCTTAGCAGCCAGGCTGTCCTCAATTCTGCTGACCAACTCGTGCAGAGCGGTTTCACAGGACTTGCCTGGCTGGTAGGCGTGTTGATTGCGATGAAGAGGTGTGTTGAGAAGTACACCCTTTCTTATGTGCCTCTCCACCAGCCTTTCCAAGGTCTTGTGGAGAAATTAGGAAAGACTGATAGGACGGAATGATTTAGCATCAGAGTAGTCTGCTTTTCCTCTTTTGGGAATGAAGACCACCCTGCTGAGACGCCAGGCCTGAGGGATATACCCGTAGGCCAAGCTCGCTCGGAAGAGTTCACATAGGAGGAGCTTGAGGGCATCCCGTCCTTGCTGTAGCATGGCTGGATAGATGCCATCTCCCCTGGTAGACTTAAATGGACCAAACTTATTGATTGCCCATTTAACTTTAGAGAGAGTGACAACCCTTCTGGCTGTATTCCAGCTTTCACGATCAGTTCTCGGCCAAGAACTTGTATTCGTGCAACCGGACACTCCTGTGTCGTCACTCTCAAAAATGCAACCAGGGAAGTGAGTCTCAAGGAGAAGTTTGAGACTTCCTCCAACCCCAGTGGAATATTGCCCTCCTGGTACCTTAAGAGATCCCAAGAGGAGGTTCGGTTTCTTCATCTTAAGACGACTAAGTTGCTCAGTGGCGTCATTAAGTGTCTCTGTGGAATTTGGTGGTTTAGGACTGCTTAAAAGCTCCTCTTCTCTTTCCAGTGTAGCTGGTGTGAGCGGGGATTCGTCCATAGTGGAAGTTCCTGGTTTTGAGAGCGTTAGAGCCTCCTGTGCTCTTGGTGCACTCGTTTCAAGAGCGGGGTCTTGCTCTGAGTGAGCTGACCCCTTAGGTGTGGGCGGTGCAACTTCTAGAGTTGCTCCGAGGTTTGGTTCTGGTTGAATTTTTTATTTGTATCCATGGTGTTCCCACGAGAAGCAAGGGATATTGGAGGTCGAGTCCAGACAGAGCCCCGCATGTGCAGGTAAGGCTAATTACTCCAGGAGGTCGACCGGTGTCCTGGAGGCTCTGTACGCACCACCGCTGGGGAGCCCGGTGGCATTCACCTCTTCGGCACGGGTCGCATGACACCACTGAGGTTGGCTGAAACAAGAAGCAAAAGCGAAAGGAAAAGGAGAAGGGAAGAAGATTCTTCAATAGGAAAGCGAAGAAGAAAGAAGGGCCAGCAAAAAGAGGAAGTTAGCTGGCCATAGAACCCAGAACGGAAGAGGAGAGATCTGGGGGTTGGCTAGGGTACCTCGGGGTTGCCAGCCTACCAGAGGCCTCCCGTGTAGTTGACAGACAATGTGTCAGATTGCTGATACTGTTTATTTATTTTTCAGTACCAATGTTTTGTGGAAGAGTGCTCTGTTGTCTCCCAGGATGATGTTCAAAGAAGAAAGCACTGCATCGAAGTCCATAGCTTTCCTCCCGATTTCCGATTTGATCAGTCACGCAAGTAAGTGATTTTAGTATCTGTAAATGGCTAAGTAAATTGATTGATTTTAGATGCTGCAAGTAGACTTATCATCCTTTTTCCTAAAGTGACCCGACAAAGTGGGCTTCCTTGCACAGACTTTAGTACAGAAAGCCTTACTTTGGCACACACCAGTATTCCAACCAAACAACTCAAAACAGCGTGCTTTTATTTATGCACGTAATCTGTGTACGCTTGAAAATAAGCTGGCAGCACTTGAAGATATTACAACTACGATTAGCTGGTGCAGCGTTTCCCATTTTGTTCAATATTTTGATTCAACCTAACCCAAAAACAAGTTATGTAAGTGTTTGAAAGACTAATTTATATGATTTATAGTAACTGTAGGAAAAATATCATGTGTAACACGAGTCCGCCCACTAGTTACACAAATAACTATTGTACAACCCTAAGTCTTGTTGAGGTGTGGTTCATGTCGAGTCGACTTGAAATTTTGTGATGTTGGCAATGTACTAAATTTACACCAGTCAAAGTCGTATCATGTCTAAATCGTTTATTTTTAAGAGAAATTTCATTCAAGGATAGTTCTATAATGCTTGTTTGTGTTTTTCTTTCAGAAAAGGAAACAAGAAAAACACCAATAAGAACAAAACGAGTGAACCTTGTGAGGAAGCCATGATGGTAGACGAAACCCAGGAAAAGAAACCTCAAAAAGGTAAACCAATAACGTTTGGTAGGGGAAAACAAGGGAAAATGTTTGTGAAACCTTGGCATGCAAAAAGGAAGGAACAGAAGACGACACCAAACGACAAAACTGAACAGAGTGAAATTTCTACATGTGAACTCATGGAAGCATTGCCATCTTAACGTGATAACAATCTTTGTTGGGAGAGTTAGTTTTTAAAGAGACTTAAATTATTTACTGGATCTATCAGTAAAAGTGTAGGTAGTAACTTTTTTCACGATTAGAGATAGGATTCAAGTATTTTTTAGGTAGAGCAAAATGGTATTTCGGAATCCAAGTTGTCCAGGAGATTTTCTTCTTATTTATGAATATTTATTATGAGAATGAATGTAACTTTTAATGCCAAGAAAATTAAAAATCTTAGGGTATTGATGACGACAATGTAATGTACTAAAATTGTTAGTGTTATTTAATAGTTTTAAGGACTAAATGTAAAATGTTTCTGTGTTAATATATTATTTTCTGAGCTTGTTTAAATGCTTTTGATGACTAGACATAGTACAGGTAAAACTTTCCCAAGAAAAAAAAAAGTTAGTCCGTTCATGAAACTTGCAGGAAACATAGTACTTACCATTAGGTTTTGAAATCTGAAGAGTCCCTAGTCATTGTGGGGGTGGAAGTACAATTTTATAGGGGTTAAAGTTTGTGGGGGTAGTAATTTTGAATATATTTTTATTTATAGGATCCAAACAAGTGGGGTGTCATTTTCTATGTTTCTTAAGATGCAGAATCGAAAACAAGCATAACAAAATCAATACAACCGACAGTTTATGAGAAAAAGACAAATTTATTCATGAAAAAATATGACAAACTCATTAAGGGGAGCCAGACCGATTTTTTTTTTATTTACACAAATTTTGTTTTCTGCTGATTTTTATTCTCCTTTTAATTCCCTTGCAAATGACATAACATTCATATGTTATTCAGATGTAAGCCTTTTGAAATAAATAAAACAAAACATCGCGACAGCTAGTTTTCATTCCGCGTAACTTCAAAAGTGTAGGTAGTATACTCATGACATTTAAAAAAGTAAATTACGAGGAAAAGGTACAAAGCTGTTGAAAGTATCAAGAAGTAGGCTAGAGAAGCTAGAAGAAAAAGAATGCTCATGCAGAAAGTCGATGAAGAGGCACTATTATGATCCTCAATATAGAAAGGCCTATTTTATGATGAATATAGCTTGCGGCAGGTGCTACAGGTCTGTACCCTGTTTTCACCTCGTTTTCCGAAAGTTCAACTTATTATAACAAAGGTACACGTATCTCTGGAACTAAATGACCTAGAGACTTGAAATTTTTTATACATAATTGTTGTGTTATAAGTAACATTTAGACCCATTTTTATTACTGTCACATTGCTAGTTTTGAAGAAGAAAAATTAATGTCTCGTAAAATTTGTAAACATTTTTGTGTCTTACAAAAATTTTATTTCAATGTAACACTTAATTGAAAAATTCTGAAATTGGGTCTGTTTACACATAAAGGGCTGATAATTATAGTCTACAATTTTGAAAGCCATAACTTTACACCTTTTGAAGAAAAGTGTACCTAAAAATGGCAAATTTAACATTGGCGAGATAGGCCTTTCCCGCTCCCCAAGGTAAAATAATGCAGTTAATATCAATTACTATTTCACTCACTGATCAGGTATACAAATGTTTGGGCACTTCTAGACGGGGTAGGGAGTTGAAATTTGTCACACTTTTTGGTCTTGGGCCCAAAGCCCCGGGGGATTCCAAAAGGTCGCATTTTCAAATTTTAACCCCCTCTGAATTTCAAATTCCCACCCAATGTTATTCTTATGGTGATTAGCATTTAAAGTTACCGACTTTGGTATATCCATCTAGAAACGTGCTAGAGACCTGAAATTTAGCAACATTGTAAAACGTGATTTTAAATCAAAGTAAAACATTAAAAAAGTCACATTTTCAAATTTCAATCCCTAAAAATCCAAAATGGCGGTCACCTAAAAACCACAAAACCCTTTTTTCAAACGGTTAAAGCTTGAAAACGGCAAGAGCTAGAAATGTTTTGAAAGAATTTTCATGGGCAGAAATTAAATTTTCTACAAAATATTTTTGAGCTATTTTCAAAAATCCCATACCTTCAACTTTAAAAAAATTACCTACTTTAAAAATTTGGTAAATTTCTTTCAATTGTTTTACGGGTTTCGCTATTTTTTCATACATAAGTCTTTTTTTTTAGTAAATACTATTACTGCTTTGTATTCTCCTGTATTTTAAATTTCACACCCATTACATGTTTTCACAATTTTTTTTTTTTTTAGTGGGTTATCCTGCATTCTGTTTTTGTAGAGTTATTGGTAACGGAGAAAATTAAAAAAACAGTAAATTTAAAATTCCCATGTTATTCTTATGGAGTATAATGTTAAATGTTGTAGCTTATTTGTTTATGGATATATTTTGATAAAACTTGGCAAATTTATAATATACTAACAAGCTATAATATTTTACAAAAAATACACTTTATTAGTTTCCTTGTAGCAGCAAACCTAGGTACTAATTAAACCTAATGTTTTTTAAATAGATTTAATAAAAAATCAATTCAGATGTATAGAAATTCGCTTAGTCGGCAGGTTTGCTGCGGCGGGGGCATTTCTCATAAAATGTCGGTTGTATTGACTTTATTAAGATTTTTTTCAATTCTACATCCTAAGAAGCATAGAAAATGACACACTACTTGTTTGAATACCATCAGAGGTGCCCATCCCCCCCAAACCCAGAGGCGCAATACCCCCCCCCCCCAAGCCAAAGGAGTAGTCCCCCCCCAATTTATGCTGCCGTCTATTTAAACCTACCGTCCCCTCACCAATTTATCTGACAATTTTCCCTTTACCTCATAAAACAAGCATTTAAAGTATTTAGTAAACTTGAGCAGGTACGAAAAACAAACTTGCTGATAATCAAAATTAAATGTTTAATATGAAACGTCATTTAACAATACATCAATATAAATCTAACTAATGGACAAATTAGAAGTTTATTTTCAATTTACAATTCAGAATCTGTATTGTCAGCCAATATGTGTGCTCAGTATTGTTATAGACAACGTCTTCAAAACGTAAAACAATGTAGGCCTACTCAGTGAATTACTCTACATGTACTTCAACACAGTACTGTAACTGTACAATATATTAGGTGGCGTTAATTTTTAAAGGGCTTAAGAATTCAAACAGCTTTAAGTGCATTAATAATACTTTGGCAAAAAGTATATTACTGTTTCACAATTATAGGCAGAGTCACGAAATAAGACAGACTTGTTGCTCGCCACTCCCAGGCTGCCTTCTACAAAAATCGCCGGGCAAAATACCCACAATATCTCTTAATAATTGCCACCAGTACAAAAGGTTTTTGTGACGAAGTAATCTTATAATTCATTTTGATAGCCCCAGGATTGCCTGTTATGACTAATAATGGTAGAAACGCATCTTGTCAGACAATCCGTTTGTACACAAAACACGAAACGATAGCAGATAGGCCTATCAATTCACGCGTGTATATATATATTGCCGCTGGCAGGACTGGAAGTAAACTGAATCAGGTAATGACGGAAAGACGTGGTCTCTGGATTGGTGTTTGTGTTATCTAAAGCTGAAATTGGACTAATTCTAGTGACGTAGGAGAGTGTTGAAAATATAATGGGATTTATGGATTTTTCCATTCAAAATTATTGACAATAATAACCAATTTATATGCTAGATGGTCTTGACATTCTACATTACTGCAGAAAAGGAAATTTATTAAATACTTTGAGGAGTTTGAAATATACATAAAACTATTGACAGCACAAAATTGTTTAGTGAAAACACACTCAATTAATTTTGAATCCCATTATATTTTCAATACTCTTCTCAGTCACTACAATAGTCCAATATCAGCTGTTGAAAACGCAGATGACAATTCAGAGACCACGTCGGTCCGTCATAACCTGAACCTGATTCAGTTTACTTTACTTACTTCTACTTCCAGTCCTGCCGACGGCAATGTACGAATAGACAGGCCTATCTGTAATCGTTTCGTGTTTTGTATTAAATGTTTGTCTTATTCTGACGATACCTCCAGAAGTGGATCTTTTTTAAATCCTGACGATGGTGGAGTTAAAGAACCACCAAAACATATGTAGCAAGTAAAATTTGACAATGGTATATAAAGGATTGCCTGGCAAGGTCCGTTTTTACCATTCTTAGAAGCTATCACGAAGCTATTACGAACAGCAAAATGTTGTTGGTGGTGATAGTGAGCTAACTTAGAAACACTTTTTCGGGCTGCTTATACAAAATTATACATTCATTATGACAGCTAGCAAAAAAATATCCCCCCCCCTCTGGGCACCCCTGGATACCATAAATAAAAATGTCCCCAAAAATCACTACCCCCAATTTTTAACCCCCCTAAAATGGTACTTCCACCCCCCCGCGCCAATCACTAGGGACTCATCAGATTTCAAAAACTAATGGTAAGTACTATGTTTCCTGCAAGTTTCATGAACAGACTAATTTTTATGTTTTCTACTAGTCTTTTGGTAGAATTTAACCTGTACTAACAATGTATATGCTTAAATTGTTAGTGTTTTTTAATAGTTTTAAAGATTACACCTTAAATATTTCTGGATTATTTTAATACTTTTTGAGCCTGTTTGAATGCTATTATGACTAGAACATGTTATGTGCTAATATTAAAAAAATGTTACAGTGTTTTAAGGATTAAAATGTTCTCTGTTAATTGAATACTTTCTGAGCATGTTTTTAGCGTTACACAAAAAATGCAATTAGATTGATTCATGTCCTATACATTTTACTAACTTAACACGTTTGCTACTGCAATAGTACGAAATTTTCCATTCACATGGACCAGCGACTCACATATGCGACGGCCGATTTCCACTCATAGACTGTCGTCGCATATATATGCTCTGTGTCTGAACTGCCCCAGCCGCAACAAACCTGCAGACTAAGGGAATAACAATTCACTGATTGGATTGTTATTAAAACATTTCTATAAACAAGACATATTTATTCCTCATAATAACGATTTAACGAGTAATTAGATTTGCGGCCACAGGGAAGGTAAAAACAAAAGGTGTTTTTGAAATGTTGATAGTGTAGGATGAAACAAAAAAAACTCCAAATTTAATCAAAATACATCAATAAACAAGCGACCTATTTATAGGCTAGCAGTTTTCTTTTTACTCGTGAAAAATAACATGGGAATCTAAAATGTACAGTGTTTTGGATTTTTTACGTAACCTACAACAACACAATATACAATTCTAAGCTCTAAAAGATGGCTGTTATGAAAATTGAGCATTTCCATGTTTTAAGAGTAAAGATATTGAAAAACCAACAATGGAAATTTTGTAATCCTCAGAAGACACTGTTCCCATTACCCGATCTAGCTGGTTCGCAATCTCATTCAAATTTATCCACCCTATAACTTCAAGCCAAATTTCATCAAAATCGGACAGTATATAATTATATATAAAAATTTGAACGAAAATAGTGTTTTTATCATCTGCGGACTAAAAAACAAATACCCCCGCCGCAGCAAACCTGCAGACTAAGTGAATATCCATTTGTCTGATTGGATCTACACTAAAATGTCTACCTATTTAAAAATATAACATTTATTTCCTATTTAAATAGAATTAGTTTAACAAGTACTTAGGTTTGCTGCATCAGGGGGGGGTAAAACTGTTTTTTTTTATGTTAATAGTTAGTAAGGAATAAAAACATTTTCCAAATTTGATCAAAACGTGTTCCTAAACAAGCAAACTACAACAGTTTACTTGTTCTCCATAAGAATAACATGGGAATTTCAAATTTAAATTTTTTTGGAATTTTCTCCGTAACCATTAGGCGCATAATAACGCTTCAATATACTAAATTATTTGTTTTTTAAGCTCTACAAAATGGTTTGGAAAGAAATTGCTAAATTTTATGTTTTATAGGTCAAAAATGGGAAACCTATTTTTACCCCATAAAACCCCCATTCCCATAGTCCGACCATGCTGGTTCGCGAACTCGTTCGAATAAATGTAGGTTTACAGGTTCCAACCAAATTTCATCAAAATCGGATCATTTTTGCTTGAGTTATCGTGCTAACGGACATACACACACACACACACACACACACACACACACACACACATATATATATATATATATATGAATTTGAACGGATGGTGTTTTTGGCCTCTAGGGACCTCAAAACGAAAAAAGATCGGACCTGCGTCCAGGTCTTACCTTGAGTACTACGGTAATAGCTTATTCCCTATATGGGAAATTCGCTAAAAAGACAATAATTAATTGGTCTCGGGCTTAGGTTTTACCGAGCCAAATACATTAATTACTACTTACTTCCCTATAAGGAAATTTGCTAAACTAGCTATGCAAGCTGTGTAGCATGACAAAGCTAGCTTGTATACTTATCCATCAGTAGTAATCTTCTTCCCTCTGATGAATTTATGATGGCTCGCAAATTACAGAGCCAACTAAGCAATTCTGTAATGATTAATTTCCAAGCAAAACGTTTTCAAGATTACATTTTCCTCAACTGTCTTGTTTCAGGAATAAGTACCTATTTATCTCCTACCTTATCTAAATTTATCTATTTACCTATTATTTTATATATTAGTAGAAACATAAGGAAGTGATTTATGATTTTCAATACTCAATGATGTTTGGATAATAATGACTTCATTTCACCAATATAAAACAACAGCATTGTCCCAGTGTCCAGTATTTGTGAAAATCTTAACAGATAACAATGTAAAACGTATTCAAGTCCAAGGAATCCTTGTGGATTAAAACACAATATACAGTATAATGCTTTCAGTAGCTTCCTGATTGAAAGCCTTTTCGATTACTTAAAACGATGTTTGCCAGAATATTTATGTTGATTTAAAAAGTCCTAAGCTACAAAAGTAGGTAGGCCTACTTATGAAAAAATATCACATAAAAAAGAAATGACGGAAAAAAAGAAAATTAAGAAGGTTACTGTTGGTGTTGATAAAGAAAATTTAGTATACATAATATAAGAGATGACATTTTCTGTTATAAAGAGTCGTAACTTTACAGGTAAAGAGAATACTTTGAATATTGTATTTAAAATCTTATTGTTCTTAAAAAATCGAATTATACCTCTGATATTCCTATAACCTGAAAATAAATTAATACCAATTCTTTACCACCTCCTTCTTTCTGCACGAAAACGTAAAGAACGTATGTAATCACGTATACAGTTCAACTTACGTAGCAATGAAAGGAACTGAGTATTAAACTAATTGATTTTATGACTGTGGTTTTTGTCAGGGCAGTTATCACTTTCCCAGCTCCTTTTTACAAGCATATGGCTGTTATCTCTTTGAATTAAATAACACTTTTCATATTTGAAAGGTAATTCTGAGATTCCGGATTTAAATCTAACCAAATCACCAATAGATTTTTATTTTATCCAAGTGATAATGCCACAACCCCTAGGTCTAGCCTGATGTTGTGAGACAAAGGATCCCAAGACAAAAAATACCCCCACCCCAGCAAACCTGTCGTCTAAGCGAATTTCCATCTGCCTGAAATGATTTTCAATTAATCTATTTTTATGACATTAGGTTTAACGAGTACCTAGGTTTGCTGCTACAAGGAAACTAAAAAAGTGTTTTTTTAAGTAAAATAATTATAGCTAAGTATAAAATCAATAAATTTGTCAAGTTTGATCAAAATATATCCATAAACTAGCAAACTACAACATTTTACAATATTCTCCATAAGAATAACATGGGAATTTTAAATTTTAAATGTTTTGGTTTTCTCTGTAACCAATAACGTACAAAAACACTTTGATATACTTTATTACTTGTTTTTTAAGCTCTTTAAGCAGGTCTATAGAGAAATTGGGAAATCTTTGTTTTGAGTGTGAAAAATGAGAAAACCCAGTTTTTACCCCATAAACCCCCCCCCCCGTTAAACTCCGTTCCCATGGTCCGATCATGCTGGTATACATATATATAAATTGGAAAGAATGGTGTTTTTGGCCTCTGGGGACATCAAAATTAAAAAGTAAATCAGTCCCGGGCCTAGGTCTTACCATGAGACCTACGGTAATAACTACTTCCGTATAGGGAAATTCGCTAAAAGTACCAATGGGAACAAAATGTTATTAGCATCAGCTTGTAGCAATAGGGTTATCATATGGCAATACAGTGGAACCTAGATAACGAGACTCTTGAGGTGATAATAATAATATAAGATTTTTTATGAAGTTTGATTACATATCGAGGTTTAAATGTCTGTGATTAGTGATAAGATCAATTCTAGGAGAATTGAAAATGACACTACTTGTTATCAAGGGTGACTTGTTAAGGAGGTACTAATGTACACTGTTTTTTTTAAATATGACCTACATTTAACTTCATACCAATCAGTGCATGGGAAAAAGGTGGCAAGGTTTTAAGGACAACATACCAATATCAGGGACTACAAAGAGGATCAGACCTTGGCTAGGTGGTTCTCTACAGGGTAAGGCAGTAGTCTGGAATCCCATGACAAATAATGTTATGTAATGTAATGTAATGTAAATGTAGTCTGGAATCCCGCAGTTAACTTTTTAACGCGTTGCACTAGAAAAACCAAACTCAATATAAGAAATCACACTTTTTCATCAAAGTTACAACTTTGCCCCAATCCCCAAAATGGGGTATTTTGGGGGCAGCCCTAAATTTTCAAATGTAAACACGTATCATGTGACCCCTAATTTTAAAGGGTTTATCAAGAGAAATTGAATGGCACAGACCAGAGGTCAATTGTCAATATCGCACCTCTAATAATTTAATTCACCAACTCTAATACCAACTCTAATAATTCGCAACCATTTTAATTTAAGATGTGCTAGCAAGATAAAGTTTGGACACCCCCAGTTACATAAATAACGTGTGGCAGTGGGAAAACCAAACTCGGCACATGTTTACAATATTAAAAAATGCACTTTTTCATCAAAGTTAGAACTTGTGTCTGGCCCCCAAAACGGGGTATTTTTGGGGCAGCCCCAAATTTTAAAATGTAAACCCCTATCATGTGACCCCCTCATTTTTAAGGGTTTCTCAAGAAAAATTAAATGGCGCAAACTAGAGGTCAATATCGCACCCCTAATCAAAATGGCGGTAATTTTGAAATATACCTTATTAACTTTTTTAACAGGTTATAGGTTATAGCAGGAAAACTAAACTCAGCATACCTTTATAATACCCCCGCCGCAGCAAACCTGCCGACTAAGCGAATTTCCATTTGTCCGAATTGATTTTCAGTTAAATATATTTTAATAACATTAGGTTTAACGAGTACCTAGGTTTGCTGCTACAAGGAAACTAATAAAGTGTGTTTTTGAGTAAAATATTGATAGCTTAGTACAAAATAAATAAATTTGCCAAGTTTGATCAAAATATATTCATAAACAAGCAAACTACAACATTTGACAATATTCTCCATAAGAATAACATGGGAATTTTAAATTTTCTCCGTTACTAATAATCAAACAAAAATACTTTTATATACTAAATTATTTGTTTTTTTAAGCTCTTTAAAAAGGTCTAAAGAGAAATTGGGAAATTTTGTGTTTTGAGGGTCAAAAGTGAGCAATTTTTACCCCTTAGAACCCCCCGTAAAGCCCCGTTCCCATGGCCCGATCGTGCTGGTTCGCGAACTCATTCAAGTTTATCCCGCTTTACACCTTTAAAACAAATTTTTTTCAAAATCGGACAAAAATTTCTTAAGTTATCGCGTTCACGGACGTATATATATATACATATATAAAAATTTGAACGAATAGTGTTTTTGGCCTCTGGGGACACCAAAATGAAAAAGTAAATCGGTCCCGGGTCTAGGTCTTACCATGCCACCTACGGTAATAGCTACTTCTCTATAGGGAAATTCGCTAAAAAAAGAGAATTCATCCTTTTGGTCAGTATTAAAATATCAATTTTTTAAAGTTAACTGGGGGTGTCTAGACTTTATCTTGCTTACTCATCTTAAATAATTAAAATGGCTGCTATTTTGATTAGGGGTGCGATATTGACCTCTGGTTTGCGCCATTCAATTTCTCTTGATAAACAATTTAAAATGAGGGGTCACGGTGTTTACATTTGAAAATTTGGAGCTGCCCCCAAAATACTCCATTTTAGGGGCTGGGGCAAAGTTGTAACGTTGATAAAAAAGTGCAATTTCTTATTTAATTTAATTTATTTAATTCTTTTTGTCTATGATAAAACATGCCCGTTTTATCTGTGATGAAGCTTACTAAACAAAACAGTGTTATATGCAATAAACAATATAAATACCAATAAACAATATAAATAAGTTACCTGGGTTGTATTTGTTTTTGGTTTGTCAACCTGCGTCCGTTTACAAATTGTAGTAGGTTATGTGAACCCCGTAACCAACAAAAAAGCCATAGCGTCGTCAACCTCTTGCTCTATCATTTTCTTCTTCCGGTTTCTGCTCGTTTTCTTCCCCTGTCGAACTTGCTCTTGCTGACTTGCTTAACTCTAGAAGACCGGCTTTCTGCCGGTTATACTTTACCACATTTTATTCAAATTAGTATAGTTCTCAAAAGCGAAGATTAGCGAACCATGGGTGATCCACGTAAGTATTTATATCATCACTACATTGATTAGAAGAAGGTTCCTAGCGCATCTAATTTTGCAGCAATGTTTGTTTACCTTGAACAGGTTTAGCTTTAGTTATGGCTTCCCAAGCTTCTTTTTGTCTATGGTTAAATCTAACAAACCGTATCTAAACATAATTTGTTTTCTAATTTGGCCTTGTTAGGCTAATTTAAGTTACTAAGTTACAATTCAGACGGGAAAAGTCAGTAGGCCTACTTAATTTACTTGGACGTCAAAAGTGCAGCCTAAAAACATCAAAGACAAGACTTCAAGACAATTATTAAACTTGATCTGTATTTAACAAAAGGAACAATGACATATTTACAACATTATAATTGAAGAATAAAACATATGTTGTAGGTAAGTTATATAAATTATTCAGAAAGTCCAAGGCAGGCAATAAATTTATAACACTACTAGCGTCTAGGCATCCAGTGCAACTCCGAGGATCATGGATCAGTACACCCCCCTCCACCACACCATGACGTACGCTTCCGAATCATACCGGCGCATCAGCATACCTAGCCTAACTGTTCGCAGAAAATTGTTAGGCTATCTCTAACTTATCACTGTTGCTGTCAAAACTTATCGTTTGTAGGTTAAATTTAAAATAAATATAGGCCTAATTAAAATGTCATAAACTAATCAAACTTGCTGATAATGAAAAACCCAAATGTAGGTTTACTAAACTTACATTAAGTTTACCGGTAATCGAAAAAATAAGTTAACCCTCCGAGTGTCCATAGTTTAGGCCTTAATGTCCGCCTATTTTTGGCGCATTTGCAAGGTTTTAACCGATCTGAGAAGCTTAAAACAATGTTACTGTAATTCTACTGTTCTATATAACTTACCATTTTGTTTGGAAAATCATGGGCTTCAATATTTTACATAAAACATAAGGAACATTTGTTTCAAAAAAATTTTTTAGGTAGGCTAAAAAAAAATATTTTGGAAAATTTTCGGCTGCACTTTACTTGACGTCCTACACTCATTCGAATGAAAATATCGATCGATATATCGATTAATCGATTGCTTCATTCGATATATCGTTTGGTTAGTTAGGTAAGGTTAACCTAACCTAACTAACCAAACGATATATCGAATGAAACAATCGAATGAAAATATTGAATCGAAAAAACAATCGAATGAGTGTAGGACGTCAAGTAAAGTGCAGCCAAATTTTCAAAAAAAAAAAATAAGTTCGCGCTCAATGAAATTGTATAAATTAGCCTATAGGCCTATAAATATTTGAAAATAGATACTTTGTTCTAAATTTTATGAGGATTACAAATATATAATAATATAAGGAAGTAGATTTGCAAATAAATAAGTTATGGGCAAAAAACAGATTTCAGTACATAGCGTTTAGCTAAGAATGCATAGCCTAACCATAGCTAGGAATCTGGCTGATAATTTACATCAATATCACTACCTACTTCTTCAGGATCATCAACCAGCCCTTCAAAATCACTTAAATCTTCTTATAATGCACCACGTATATCACTACTTTTGATTTTTAACACTAAAACAATGATAAACGTAATAAAACACATCAGTCATCGGTCCGAGGGTAACCTAGCTATTTACAAATACGCACGTCAGCTGTCTGCTACAATTACGATCGGCTCGGAGAACATACAGCGCTGAGACAGACCTCTGGAGAAAGCTTAGAATATAACGAGAAGAACGATACCTAACTCGATCCAGTTCAATCCGATTCAGTCAGTCATAGAGCCTTCGCCGTAAACAGTGTTTGTGAGTCGAAAAATCGACACAAAACACTCGGAGGGTTAAACTTAAAAATAGTTCAGTTCTAAAAATAAAATTATAGGCCTATAGCCTATCTAAGTTTAAATGTCTCAAATTCAATTTTATAATTTTTTAATTATAAAATTAAACTGTCATAGGCCTAACCTAACCAAACCAACCAAACTTGCTGATATGAAACAAATTGTTTGACAAAAGTTAGTGAGTTTAACTTACTACCAGCGGGATTTGAACCCGGCACTTACAATTTATCAGTCCGACACGCTAATTATCCATTACACCACCAAGTCTCATGACTCAGCTCCGTATCGTTGCGGTAATGGTTGACGTCACGCCATTGGCAAGGAGCGGTGGTAGGGAGTTTTCTGATCTGATCCACGATCCTCGGAGTTGCACTGGCTGCCTAGACGCTTATTTAAGTTATAACACTTGGCTTTAACCATGGACTTGGAACCAACATAATGGGTAGCCTATAGTTTCTTAACTGTGCTAGGCCTAGGCCTATGCTAACTTAATATTGATTAAAACTAACTTATTGGTTCGATTAGTAACTTAAACATCTATTAGATTATTTCATTATCAGCAAGTTTGGTTAAACTTAAGTTAAATTAGGTTAGGCCTATGACAATTTCATTTTATAAATAATAATAGCCTATAGCCTATCTAGTTATAAAATAGCCTATTTATTACTAATCGATACGCAGAGGATAAGCCTACCGGACGCGGATTAGGCGTCCGACACTGACGTCACCGGGTTGTGGGAGCCAGGAACACCATTAGGCCTACCGCAACGATACGAAGTGCAGCTACTTTTTAATTGGTGTTCGTGGTGTAAGTTAGTGTTGTGTAAGTAACTGTTAGAGTAGCCTACTTTGCTGATATCCAAGAGGTGTCTGAATCGAATCCCATCGGTGACACTAACTTTTTGTTTAGGCCTAGATTATAACTTTAGGTCTAGGCTACATCATTTGTTAGAATTTGAGGTTTTATTGAGTAATTTTATTCTATGAAGAGAATTGAACCTTCATTTGATTTTTTTCATTTTTAGCATGTTTGTTTAGTTAGGTTAGGTTATGACATTAACTGCCAGATGCCTAATCCACGTCCGGTTACCGGACGCGTATCCTCTGCCTAATCGATAAGATGAATTCAATCTATATTTGCATAGCCCAGTTAAGAAACTACCCAACACAAGTAGACGTTCTTATCCTATTGCAAATTTTGAAGCTCGTTTTTCATGTCTTGCATGTCCGGTGACACTGATTGGTTAGGCCCTTGTGTCGACGGAATTTTGTTTCTATTATTTTGGGGTTTAATGACGTTTGCCAGGCTTTATTTGCTTCTAGGAATGCCGGTCATTTCTCCATATAAATGTAGGTAGATGTTTATTAATATTGTCATAAATTAAAAATAGGCTACTTAAGTTATTTATTAGCCTAACAAACATTTTTGGCTTTTAAATAAGTTTAATATAGGCTAATTTTAAATTATTCATTGATATTCAATTTTACATTAATTTTAAAGAGCATTAAAAACTAAAGAGAAATCATATAACAAATGTATTTATTAATTGTACTAGGTAGTGGTCGAAAACTTGACCAAAAATATGTATAATCTACACCAAGGCCCCACTAGAAAAAAACAGGCCATGCTGCAGCGCAACTCTACGTCACAGTGGTGGATAGTTGTACTAAAATCTTACGATTTACAATCTGACAAACAGCCAGTTTATTTACTTAAGTGATCTGCTGAGCGTCTCGCTCCAAGACGCCGGAATTTCTCGCGCAGTCTCGACCGTCTCGAGGAATGTGACTCACTTTTGTGTGGAAATGGCTGGCATTTCTAGCAGGTATAAAACATGTAAGTTATGCCTGGCAAACCTCAAATAAAATCACTTTGGGCATACCCTCCCCACGCCACCTAGGGTTACTTTAATTGGATTTGGTTAGCCTATTTACATTGATAAGTTGATAATAATCAGTCTACAGTTAACTTAAGATTTTGTGGTTTTTTAGAAACGTATGCTAACTACAACACTGGAGGTGGGGGAGCTGGCTATGGAGGTTATGGAGGTGCTTACCCAGCTGCTGGAGCCGTAGGTGCAGCTGCGCCCGCCACAGGCTATGCCCAGGGAGGATACAATCAAGGTGCGGCTAGTAGCTACTCACAGCCTCCGCCCGCCACTGGCTGGGGTGCTGGGCAACAAGGTTATGGAGGCGCTGCCGCCGATACTTATGGTGCTCAAGGAGGCCCTAACAAAGGTGCATCTAAAAGCCTGGTTACCTTTGTAGACTTTTCTAACAGATTTATTGACTTTTAACGTCTCATCTGCCATGTGGTCGAGTTTACTAATGCCTCCAAGTTATGTTTTATTTCTAGAAATAAGTAAGCTTAGGCCTAACTTATTAGTAAGCTATTTGATTTAGGTTACCAGACCCAGTGCTGATTTGCGGCGGAGCAGAGTTCTGGCACCTCATTTTTAACAAATTGAGCACTGACCAGATTTATCATGACTTGACTAACGGCAGTAATAACGCATGTGTGTCTTGTTAATGTTAAGGCACCGTGGTATGTTCCGTATAGCTTTGTTAAAAATGAACAATTGTGGAAAAAATGCTCTGATGTAACCGAAATACATGACAGTAGAGGTTAAAATTTAATAAATAGGCTAATCAAAAAGCCCTGGCTCTAAAGCTAGCCTACAAAATATTATAGGAATGGCCCACCCAAAGAAGAAAAGGCTGGCCCATCACATGATCCCTCGACACCTCCAGTAGGCTATCAAATATTTTTAGAAACAAAGTCAAAATTTGCAAGCGATCAATTTGTTGACCTGTCCATTTCTGGAACATTGGTTTGATAATGCTTGCTTACCAGTCCAAAAATCTACTCCCTCTTATTTTTCAAAGAACAATTTGATCAAGAGTCTCAGAGATAACCAGATTTTTTACCTGATGATTTAAATATGCCCTGCCCTACTAATTTAGCCTTCTGCTGATTTCTAGGTTAAGTAAGCCCTAATTTGAATGTCATTTGTAGGTTACCAATATGATCAAGGTACTACACCGAGCTACACCCAACCCCCTCCAGCTGGTGGAGCAGCTGCAGGTGGCTATGGCAATCAAGGGAGCTATAATAGCGAAGGTGGCTACCAGGGCTACAACCAGGGTGGTGGTGGCGGTGGCTACGGCGCAGGCGGCGGTGGAGCTGGTGGCGGTGGTGGTTACGGAGGCGGTGGCGGAGGTGGCTACAACCAGGGTGGTGGCTACAATCAAGGAGGCGGTGGCGGATATGGAGGTGGACGTAAGTTTCAAATATTTTAACTTAGACAGGCCTATTTAGACAGAAGGCTAGGCTATCAGAAATTACTCTTCCTAGTGATTTCATCCCAGTTGAGATATAAGTATATACTAATAAATGTAGACTAAATAAATGTTATATTTTTTACATTTAATTTATGGACCAAAACCGCATTTGTTTGTAACCTGATGAGGGTATTAATTAAGGGCTTTTACCTAACCATTTTTAAACTAGCCGTTTCAGTTCATTTCTTAGAATTGAAAAGATACACTTAACAGCATCTATCTATACAGGGTGAGTTTTAAATGAGTTCCCCCCCCCCCCCCCCCCTACTTTTTTCTACATTTCTTAAGATATCAACTCCGGACCACGTCAGATCATTGTAGAATAGTAAGTACTTCATTTTGATTGGGTTCAAATTTTTGGCCGCCATCTTGGATCCGCCATATTGGATACAAAGTTTTTTTTTCAAATGTAAAGGTAGGGTTGTGACCCTTTGTTTTGAACTAGATTTTTACGCTAAATACGATGCTGCAATCCGTTTTTAAAAATATTGATCCATTCTAAAGTTATGAGAACTTTTCATAACTTTATTTTTAGCCTATTTTAACATTGTGCATTTACAAACTAAGACCATAATCGCAAAATAGTGATAAATAAAGATAAGTATACACCACCAGTCATTATCAACCTATTTAAACTTGGTTCTAGCACTATTATGGGATTATGGTCTTAGTTTGTATTTGCACAATGTTAAAATAGGCTAAAAATAAAGTTATAAAAAGTGCTCATAACTTTACAATGGATCAAGATTTTAAAAAACGGATTGCAGCATCGTATTTAACGTAAAAATCTAGTTTGAAATGATAGGTCACAAACATACCTTCACATTTGAAAAAAAAACTTTGTATCCAATATGGCGGATCCAAGATGGCGGCCAAAAATTTGTACCTAGGCATAATGAAGTACTTGCTACTCTACAATGATCTGTTGTGGTCCGGAGTTGATATCTTAAGAAATGTAGAAAAAAGTAGGGGGGGAACTCATTTAAAACTCACCCTGTATATTAATTACGTAAGCCGATTCTTTGCGTCAAAATTGTGGGCGACTGAGAAGACGTAGAACGACGGGAGAGGGCTCAAATTAAAGGTCTCAATCCCGTGACGGCGAGAAAAATAGTGAAATTCCCAAAATATGAACACAAAATTAGATATAACGTAAAATGTTCTCCATAAGAATAGCATTAGAAGGCATTTACTGCTGATTTTTGTTTACTTCAATACAGCTGATGGTGATTTCTCATTAAGCAAGTAAGCAATATTACATTTGGATTACCTATTTGCCAGTCAATTCTGCAATGTAATGTATCTTACTAATATTATAAATCTGAAAGTTTGTGAGTTTGTGTGTGTGTTTGTGTGTGTGTGTGTTGCTCAATCACGCATAAACTACTGGACGGATTGGGCTGAAATTTGGCAGAATGATAGCTCACATTCCCGATTAACATTAAAGTATATTCTTATCTCAAAAATCCTTTCGGGCTCCGCCCCAGTGGCTCTGTAGTTCCCCATGTTAACCTTATAATTTTTCATATTTAAAGGAATTAATGAATCTTAACAGCTGTTTCAATTAAACAAGTTGGTTCTGTTCTATGATGTTCAATAGCATCAAAGTTATAAGGATTACCAACAGGGTGCAGCACTATTATTTTTTTTTAATTTATGAAAACAGCTAATTTCCAAACCATAAGGTGAGTGAGCGTAGCGAACGAACTTCAACCTGGAGGTGAGTTAGCGTAGTGAATGAGCTAACCTGAAGGCAAGTGAGCGCAGCGAACGAGCTCCAATCTAAAGGTGAGTGAGCGTAGCGAACGAACTTCAACCAGGACGTGAATGAGCCATGCAAATACTTATGAAGTTAAACGGGGTGAAGCCCGCGGGTACAGCTAGTACTATATAAAACCAACTATATAAAGGGATAAAGTTGCCAATAATAATCTAGACTCTTTAGTTATGTCAAAGTTGAAATCAATTGTTTTGAAGATAGGCCTAATAGAAACGATTCAAGATTAAATGAAGATCTTCTTTGTTTTGATTTCAAAACATGTTAAAGATTTATTCCACACTTTTTTGTAAATTTACTAACATTTATATTTGAGATTTATTGTAGTGTTTAATCAATATTTTGTATGAAGTGGAATAACCTCAACGGTTAGGTACTCTTGGAAAACAATTTGAGAATAAAGTTGAAGTAGGTTGGTACAGGTATTTGTTCATTAAGTACTTAATTACTTTGTTGATCCAAGCAAAAAAGGTTCAATTAATCTAGCCTAGCATGCACGGTAGTAGGGGGCACCGATACATATAACAGTAGAACCACAGAAAACGTACTACTATAACCCAGAATGCCAACCGCATGGTAAAAAGCATTAAGCGGTTTGATAGAGCTTTGCCTGTCAATCGGTAGGCAGCGCCACCAGCGTTGCTATGCTATTGCATGGCAACGCTGGTGGCGCTGCCTATGGATTGACAGGCAAAGCTCTCTCAAACCGCTTAATGCTTTCTACCATGCGGTTGGCATTCTGGGTTATAGTAGTACGTTTTCTGTGGTAGAACATAGAGGTAATTTCCGTTTCTTAAAACTAACCAAAAATATTTATGTCGTGATTAGTTTCGATAACTGGGTAATGGAACCCTAAACCAGTCGCAAAATAGTTAGTAATTCAAAACGTTTAAGACGTTCAAGACGTTGATTAGACCTTTTTTGGTAGAATATGTAAATCAATCTCACCTTTAGGAGGATTACCACCACATATACTTACACTAGGCTAATAGTGGTTATTTTTTATGTTGATCAGAAACAAATGTAGGGTTAAGTTCTGTCAATGGGATGCCTTTACTTAAGACTACTTTTGCTAAACCTTTACAAAATGAGCATAGACTTAGAAATAGCTGGGTAGGGTAGGGATTCTAATTTAGCGGTTTTGACCAAGAACTAAGTTTATCTGAACACACCATTTTTTGCCTTTTCTTATTTAACGAAGACAATTTCCAACCTTTTTTATCAGCATTAGCCAAAAAACCAAAGCTACCTTAATAAACCAATATTTATTCATAAACATGTTTGCTGCCTTTAGCCGTTAAACCTCTGGAATCATTCAAATTCTTTATTGAAAATAAGAATAACAAAAGCAAACAAAGACAAAAAACAAACTGTCTTTTTTACACAAAAGATTTTGTACTGTGATGTCTATCCTGACACACACATAGATAATTTAATTCTGAGTTTGTTTAAATCCTACAATAATTTCTTTTCCATTTGAGCTTTTTAGGGACTTATGTCCCTACAAGCCACTCTTAGGCTTAGGCTAAGATTTTGATGTATTGACATTTCCTTGTACATATTATGCTTTCAGGAAATAAATCATTCTCATTCTCTCATTCTCACTAGTTGTTTTTTATTTATTTAACACGGGTAACGGACCAACGAGGTTCAAGGATTGAGAGTAAAGAAGTAAAATTGTAATAATGCTTCAAACTTCAATTAATCAGCTGTTCAGGCAAATTTAATTGATAATGAGTGGTGCAATTAGTGTTTGATACAATGATTCGTTGTATCACTGTCAGTGGTTATACAGGGTGTCTACCAGTCGGGAATTCCGGGAAAATCGGGAAAAAGTCGGGGATTTTGAAGGGTCGGGAAAAGTCGTGAAAAAGTCATGAATTTCGGCCGAAAGTCGGGAATAATCTAACCTTTCAAAATTAGGGATGAACGGGTCCCAAAACTTTAAAAAAATGTTCTGGATCTTATATTCCTGATCATTGGGACGGGATTACATTTAAGGGGTGGGGGATGAAACGAAAATGCATCGGAATTCCAATTCGATTCAGTGATGATCAAAATAACGATTTGAATCATGGGCATTCAGTGTCCATAATATACGTTTTTGAATCAGCATCCATACATTATGGAATCAGTATCTATATACGGTATTGAATCAGTATCCATATACGTTATTGAATCATTATCCAAATAGCTTTTTGAATCAGTGTCTATACGTCATTGAATCAGTATCCATATACGTAGTTGACTGTTACATTGATAATGTTACTTTGACTATCAGTATCCATATAACTTATTGACATTATTCAAATGATTGACATTAATTATATAAGCTATTCATTGAGATGAGACATTGCTTAGCCATACAAGTTATTACCATCCAAGTACATGGCATACACTGAGACATTGCTTAGCCATACAGGTTATTGCCATCCAAGTACATGGCATACACTGAGACATTGCTTAGCCATACAGGTTATTGCCATCCAAGTACATGGCATACACTGAGACATTGCTTAGCCATACAAGTTATTACCATCCAAGTACATGGCATACACTGAGACATTGCTTAGCCATACAGGTTATTGCCATCCAAGTACATGGCATACACTGAGACATTGCTTAGCCATACAGGTTATTGCCATCCAAGTACATGGCATACACTGAGACATTGCTTGACCATACAGGTTAATGCCATCCAAGTACATGGCATACACTGAGACATTGCTTCGCCATACAAGAAGTTATGTATACCTTGTAGTTCTGATTCTATCCTCTTATTTTATCAATGTAAACCAATTGAAAGATTCAGTATTTAAATCTTACAAAGGTTTTTATTTGTTTACACCCAAACATATCTTAATTTATAAAATGAATAAAATAAAATAGGTAACATACTTAACAACATGATGCTGCAAGTAAAAATTATGAAATAGGCAAGAAGCTCACTGATATTTCCAGAAATACTGGTTCTTCTAATGTATGATTGAAAACAGATATTTCACTCCACTGAGAAGTATGAATATAAAAATTCCATGTTGCTTCGAATCGAGTTACATCAACATTTTTTTAAATCAAATCGTTGCTTTGAGTTGAAATGTTTTGCTGCTTCACACACACCTACATTTAATACGGGATTTTCTTGGCATGTGATACGTTTCGATCGTCAGTGATTTTGCTGGGTCGTAAGTGACAACATATGTTGACGAAGGTACCGTGACCGCGAGACGGAAAAAGGTGTAGTAACATGGAGAATGGACCGAGTTTTTGGTCGGGATTTATATAAAAATGGTAATGAAAAGTCGGGAAAAAGTCGGGAATTCCATTTGAGAAATCTGGTAGACACCCTGTTATAAGCGAAAACACAACCTATCTTAGAAGTTATGAGTAGTGATTGTTGGTAATTAAAACACTTGTCTTAGGTAAAATAGTGTACACAACTCGAATGAATAGTCTTAACGACACTCGTAGAAGTTTTTAAGGCTTGTACTTTAAATTTCCACTCAGTTCATAAACACTATCTTTACGCGATCATTGCACAAACTACTAAGACAGTGGAAAAATATTAGCACTCATGTGTAAGGAAGGCTTAATTACTAAAGGCTTTTGAATTGTGAAGTACCTGTGCCCTTATCCTTGATAAACGTTAACATCCTGGTTCGTCCCTAAGCAAATTAATAAAATGTGTTTTAGGTTATTAAAATCAAATAAAAAACATGTTGTTCTTAAAAAGAAAGTTTACCGTACTAAAATAATCAAATCTTTAAAAACATTAAATGTTCTCAAGTAGGCGAACATATTTTATGTTATAAGCTTTTTCAGTCAATAAAATGTTTTGGGTAGGTAAATAAGTGCAATAAAACATGGGATAATGTAAAATTTAATTATGTTTATTTCAAATAGGGGTGTGCAAATACTACTTTTTCTTTTTGAATCAAATACGAATCGAATAGAGAGAATTCCAAATCAAATTCAAATTTTTTCGAATCGAATACTTTCCCTCGAATAGTGAACATTTTTTAACCGAATACTAACCCTCAAATAATGAAAACTGGAAATCAATGTCAAGTCAACTCTCAATAACTTAATAAAACTGTTGGTATATTTTTTCCAGAATAAGTGTAGATTGTAAATGTATCTTTTGTTTATTTAATTTAGGCCTAGTTTAATTCAATAGGTAACTGAACTTAGATAATAAGTAAAGGTACAAACCTGAACCAAATTTTATTAGTCAAAATTATAAAGCACTACCAATAACAAATTTTGTAAAACATATTCAACCAATTGGGTAGTGATAGTCATTATAACCACATAAAAACGCACATTGTTTTCATTTACTAAGTAGGGATTTAGGCCTACAAATTACTGTCAGCCCTAAGTTTATGTTTTAGAACATAAACTTTAAAAAGGTATGCCTAAAATAAAACTTGTCATAACTTAACATAGCCTAATCTCATGACTTGGGCTTAGGCTACTGGACAACTAGGTTTGAAGGTCTAGGCCCTATTTTTAACCATTTACAGTACCTAGTTTAAATCTTCGATTGAAATAATAAAGCCCCTTTTAGCCTAAATGTAGGCTAACTTAAACTTAGGCATATTTAGAATGAGTTTATTAAGATACATAGGAAATGTATAATTATTAACTTTTAACCTACTTTTAAGGACTTTTTACACGTGTTGCATTCTGCAACAGAGCCCTTTTTGACAAAAAAATCCCAAATTAAACTCCTTTACTTATTTTTGAATTCTTGTGATGATGTTGAAGGCACATTTAGGCCTAAATCGGATTCTTCATCTGAATCCATCTTGTCATTCAACCAAACTTAAATGAAGCCTAGGCCTCCTACAACTTTTAGGTAATATCCAACTATATAAAAGCAACTGTTGTGAAAATATACAAAAATTGTTACTAAATCAAATCAAATCAAAATCATTTTTATTTCAGTAAGTAATACATTCTAAGTTTAGCATATTAGCACAGACGTGCTAAACAAACTGTCTCTAAACTCCAAACTCCAAACTTCTTGTCTTGTAACACAGCTTGCGCTAATGCAATAGAAATTATTGTTGTCTGCTAGAGAAGCAAAAGAATAGAAGCAGACTTCCATAGCAAGACAATCTAGCAGACGACATTTGTATATATCATATTTCAAGTTTATATAGCTGACGGTGCGCGTTTTCGTACCATGTATAAGATAACTCAGTATAATTTGTTCTTGTATCTTATTCGCAATCACTTTTTCAGTTTTACTTCACTCGAAATCACATCAATGTCGTATGCTAGAGTTCGTTGGTTTCCTGGTGAAGCCTGGGGGGTGGGTGGTTAGAGTGGCTAAACGCAACTTGAACCCGATCGCCATCGCCAAGAACAATGAAGGCGAATGAATGCTAACGTAGTGTTTTGCAGCACATAATGTTAGTTTAATAATGTTGAAAAATAATTAAATAAATTATCTAAGTGAGTTTTAATTAAATATTGTATTGCATTTTTATTTAATCTGAAGCAGCTTAACAGTTTTCATATATCTTCAAACCAAGTTGGAACGGAACTATTTTACCGACCTTGTTTATTTGGCTAATGGCGGAGGACATTATCTCATCGGAAACTCACGACACGATTACACAATAGTTGAAAATGAAACGTTGTCGTTGTCACTCGATAGTCGATAGAAACTGATTACCATTCGTATTTTAGCCCGATGGTTATTTTTTATTAACTACTTGAAACGCTTTTTTGGCCAACTTGATTTGTTTTATGTTTTCCAAAGCTCCAACTAATTATGTAACCAGATGGGAAGTATTCGAAAAGGGCCGAACTATTTGACCACCGTCAAACTATTCAAAAAATCGAATACTCGCAGATAGAACGAATCTAATTGAATAGTAGTTTTACTATTCGATTCGATTTGAAATTTCAAATATTCGCACACCCCTAATTTCAAACAATTTTGAAATTGATGTAAGTTACCTATTTGTTAAATAAAACTTTACGTTTATGGTCTAGCCTAAGTAGCCTATGTCTAATTCGTTGATTCCTTAATTTATAGAGAAATTTTTATGATTTAGGAGGCGGTGGCGGAGGTGGAGGTGGCTATGATGGAGGCAGAGGAGGCGGTGGCGGTGGCTACAAGTAAGTTCATTACTTTAAAACTTATTTAACGTATAAGCCTAAACTTAACTCAATTATTTAATTTCTGATGATTAATTTTGTTTAAATACACTATTATGTGGTTCTAGGGTATAAAATTAATGTACAATAAAAATGTTAGCCTACAGTCATAGTTAAATGTGAACAAAATCTTTATAAATTTGCAATTTCTACCTCGTAACTAAATTTACTAATTGATCAATCAAAAGGTTTAAAGATCTTACATTAGTTTAAAGCTGTTCTTTTTTAGTTTGAATAATATAATTATTTTTTTTGTTTTTAAATATTATCAATGTGTATCGTTGTGAATCTTCATTTTGAGACAACTCGTAGCAAGATAATTAATTTATTATATCCTAACTGATTATTATTGTCTACAACTTGGTATGATATAATGTTGAGTGTTGTTTCTACATTTCATATCCCTGTACATTATTGTTTATGGATGGTGAAAACTTCAATGATTAGAGTATTGGTGGTTTTAATATTCCACAACAGGTTTACATCAGACACTTCACAAGATTGGTTGTTTCCGTCAGCTTGGTTTAAAAAAGCTCATAACTACGCTATAATGTTGAGGTATAGGCCTATTTCAAAAAGGTATTCATATGCAAGTTGTACATTTATTGTGGCACTAGGTGTATGTTAATTTTTGTACACATTTGTCAGTTAAAAAAGGTATTCTCAAGATGTTATGGTTGTGGTTGTTTGAATATATTCATCGTTGAAAGACGGTGTATTAAAATTCAGGGTGTCCACATTCTGGAAAGTCAGGGATAGTGATGGAAAACAGGTCATTGAAAGTCATGGAAATAGGCTGAAAGTAATGTAAATCCTTCATATACTATAAAAGTTCATAGGAAAGAAAATAGGAAGTGGAGAGAGAACTTTGCCAGCTATGGGAATTTTCTAGTAAAGTATGTGAGTAATGGAAATCAATGGTAAATGATCATGGATAGTCATGGAAATTAATGACAAATTTTCTGTGGACACCCTGAAATACCAAAACTGTCTTGCCTCGAACGTGTGTAGATTGGTGATAAGAACAATAGATCGGTAAAAGGGTAATGAAAGATTTGCCACTGTGTTCCTCCCCTTGTATTTTGGGAATGGCGAGCAAGGTATTGTTACAATTTTTTTTCAATGATGTTGGTGACACTTATTTTGGACTGCACTTAATATGAAATGTTTTGTAAAAGTTTGTCATTAGGGCAGATACTAATGTCTGTTGTCTACTTCTGCCGTTGTCTACCACTCCTATTCAGTTGTCAGATAATTTGCTAGGATTTAAGTTGGTCAAGTTGGATACTTTGCTTACAAACAATCGCATTGAGTGTAAATATTGTAGCATAAATAATCAGGACTGGTATCATGGAGCACACTTAACATGTCAACAATCCGAGAACAAATAATTGAGAAAAGTATTCTGTAAAATAACAGACAAATTATTTACTTGCTGATCACAATTAAATTTGACGAGGTTTTTCAAGTATTGGTCTGAAGGTTTATCGTCGAAGGTATTTTGTAAAGACAGTTTTATTGGCTGGTGGTTTAGTGGATCTATAAACGATTGAACTTCATTTTGGCATTTCACGGCAAATAGTAGGCCTATGTATGGTGTTGTATGTACAAACAGTGTTTTACTATTTTGCTCTGTTTTGGGCACGGATTTGTATTGAAACTTTTGAATGTAAATGTTTGCATTTCATTCAACGAAGGTATTATGGTGTTGTACCTACAGTGTTTTACTAAGTCACACTGTAACGCAAGACAGTCTGGTAAAACAAGTTGGGAAAGCACTAGCTACAAGAATCAATGAGAACTAACTGTATTATTACAAATCATTTTTGTACTGGTCGTAATTGCTGAGGACTAATAATAGGTGCACCTGCACATATTATTCAACGTCTAAATGAAAAAAAGACCACCATGGTGTTGAAATGACTTGAGTTTCTAAATATTCACAGTTCTTACGATTCAGAAGTGTCGTATTGCTAATTTACAGAGTGTGTGTGTGCATACTTTGCTAAAAAGGTGTTAGTTTGGTTAAATTGGAATCGCAGCAGTCCTGCATATTTTCTTTTAAGATTATTGCACTTGAGCAATGGCTACCCATCATGTGAAACTGAAGATTCAGAAAATTTAGTTTGTATTGGTACGTTATCTGTGTTTTGCTTCAATTTTTGTATTTAGGTTCAAAAAAAGTAGCATATGTGTTTTCATTTAATGATGCTGCAAATTTTGTTTAGTTTTTCTCCAGATTCCCAAAATACACTTATTAGTGGTTTAAAATACCTGTATAGTTGGTAATCTAGGTAATTACAATTTTGTTTCTTCGTGAAAACTACATTGTGGTATTTGGGTTTTTAAGAAAATACAGTAGTTCTGTGAAATAACCAATTGAATTAGTCTGACATATCATACAAGGTATCCTTTTAGAATGGACACATTATGGTTATGATATAACAGCGTAATAGGGCTACTTTGATGGTGAAGATAACAATTAAAAGACAACTTCCTTAGTTTGGTGATTGTTTGATAAAAATATGTGGATAATTTTGGGGTTTTGTCGCCAGTTAAGCAACCTCTGCACAGTTATGAGTATGATTTGATTAGCTTATCCAATTGCTTCATAATGAGAATTTCTTCTCATTAGGCCTTGTGTAGAATCATGGTGGAAGTAAATAAGGTGTGCTACTGCGCATCGTAGCCGGCTGCAGGCGGTGCGGGGGAGGGGTATCGTGACGTCACCTTGGGGGCAAACATGCCTCGCGACCATATCGAGCAGTGACGCCGCTCTAATAAAATTGTAATTTTTAATAGTAAGAACCGATAAAAATTCCTGAAACTTTGCATAGTCTTAGACTATAAACATAGGATGCTTATGATTTAAATTTTATTAATTTATTTGAATTAAAAACCATTCAACCACCGATCACACTTCAAACTTTTTCATACTAACACAAAAAAGTTAGTCGGCTACCAAATCACGTATTATTTGGTCAGGTTTATGAGACCTGCGGGAAAAGGGAAAGGTTCTAATTTAACTGTAGTATCGGTTGGATTTCGATAAAAGAATTACTTTTTTAGTTACGAAGAATTATATCAAGCGGCAACGGAGCGCGCGCTCAGCCGATGCCTTCGTTTATTGGATAATAAGGCCACGCATTTATTATCCAAAACACTGTAGCCAGGCTGTAGCTACATGTTATAAGGATATACTTTGTATTCTACATTTTAAATGAAATATGTAATATTAACATGTGACAGATATAATAAGTTTTACATTAAAATGCGTAGCAACATCTTCGTTTTTATTCAAATTAACATGATAACAGTTGCCATAAAATTTGTAGGATCGGAAATTAATAACATTTCCTTAACCAAGAACATAGTTTATTACATTTTGCAATCTTATAAAAATATTTACGACCTGCAAGTAAACATCTAAAAAATTAAAAATTTCATCACCTCTGGATTTTTCTAAACTTTTTAAGTTTCTTTAGAAATTTTCTTTTTTTGCCACTAGCAAAATTGCATTGTCTTAGCCTCCTATTGATTTGTTGAGGAAAACTAAAATATTGCACGTTTGGTTGCGTTTTCTTATTTTTCGAACTATTACAACAACCGTACACTGCATAATTATGCAATATTATCCCCCATTAATGGGGGATTTTTGTAGAAAGATGTGTGCCCTAAGGAAAACTGACATCTACTGCAACTCGCGGTGAACACAAACGAAAACAAAACAAACAACACGTGATCATCCCCCGTACACACCCCCGCACCCGAGCCAAAGTTGCGACATAGATAACAACCCCAGTGAAATAGGATCCTAGCTGTCGAATTAAACTGGAATATCACATTTTATTATCATGGTATTGCAAAAGTGAAACAATTTTATATTTTAACCTGATTATAAATACAATGTTTAATCACCAACTTATTTTTTAACAGAGTACATTTTATTTTATATACTATGTTAAATACATTCCTTTTAAATAATAAATGCAAACTAGTAAAAGCAAACTTTTATTTTAACTAATCAACAACGATTTGCAATACTTTAAATGCAATTTGGCAACGTTAACCCTATTCACCGAGGAGACAATATTCATTTTATGTTGTTTGTTGTTCCGGATCGGTTGACAATCAATAAAAGGTTGAATTACCTGTGTCCGCCGGTCAATCCTGTAGAATCCTATTGCAGGATATGCATTTCGGCGATGTTAAATCGCCATCATCAGTCCTTAATATAAGAGCTTGTACTTCCCCATTAGGTGCGTCTTAAAGTTTTGAAAACACGTACACAAATTTTACACATGACGAAACACATAAATACACGGTAGGCCTACTGCGGACATAAAATAGACGCGCGTCGGTCGTGTGTCGAGTCTCGACTGGAGTCAGACTTTACTTGCAGAGTTGACCTTTGTCCTGTCTCTGTCCTTTGTAGCTACAGGTGGCGTTTCATTCAACTTTAACAATGCTTCAAATAATATGTTGGATTGTAGTGTACTTTTATCATTCAGAAGGTTGTGGGGGGTGGTTTTTGAGGCTTTGTAAATTTCGTTTTGCTCTAATGATGTCATTACTCGACTTTTTCTACAAACGTGTAAAGGTTTTAAATTATCATTCAAGCTGGAATAACTGTGATTACTATTGACTAGGTGCTCGGCAAAATTGGATTGTTGTGTTAGACTATTTTTGGGAAGGTGTTCTTTAAATCTTTTAATAAATGGTCTGCCAGTCTGTCCAATATAGAACTTATTACAGTCATTGCATGTTATCTTGTACACTCCCGACTTTTCACTCAGGTTTTTATCACTTTGTTGGGCTCTAGGTTTGAGGAGATTTTGGACGTTATTGGATGTTCTAAATGCTACAGTTTTGCCATGTTTTTTGATTTCACTTTTTAGGGTGTGGGGGATCTTTTCTCCATATTCAACTGAGACAAATTCTGTTTTTATTTTAGGCCTTGG